GGTGTCCAATTGCCTACAAATGGGCTTTGAGTTTCCACTCTGCACTCACCCACATTTACAATGATACGATTTTTTGTTCTTTGATGCTTGATACCTGATCCCTTCGACAGCTCGTGGTCACGTAGGCTGGTGTGCTTCTTCCATGTGGGCTTTGTTGCTTCTGAGCTAGATGGCCACTTGTTTATCTCCAAGCCTTTAAGACCCCAGATGCTATATCTTTTGATAGCCGGGCACCATCAGCTTTCTTCACCACATTTGCTTATGTACCCATTTTGTCTTCAGCGCTCGTGTGGGGAAGGTGACCATCACAGAATGCCAGGTTATCAGAAAAAAGTGTTCTTGCATTGAGGGAGGACTTGAGCTTGTCCATTTTGCTGCACTTTAAGGGAAGTTGTTTGCACATGCATTTGACACCTAAGATTGCATCTGATTGGCTACACTGTGTATCAGTTAAGTGACGGGATTGATGATAGACGTACGTCTATTTTTTAATGCCATGTGATCTGCCCACACTACATTTATGATCGACGAGTAGATCATGATTGACTTATTGAGCACCCCTGCCCTAAGAGCTAGGCTGCACCCCACTCCCACACCTGTACTGACAGCAATCCAACACACTTTGCCTGAAGACAAAGCTATTCACATTGCCGCCTAGTGGTCAGGAGTAATTCAATGTAGGCTGGATTTATGTGGAAACTCAGGGAAATAAAGGCTCTCACTGTAAACCGCAGCCTTCAACAACCTCTGCACTTAAGTTCTAATACAGTTCGAACCAACAACCTCTTAGCAGAGCAGTCAAATTCGGGAGTTTGCTCAATTAAACCAATTACACCCAACCACCCACCCCTTTTTTTAAAATTTTCTTAATTTTGAAGCTTTGGGCTGCTAGCTGCAAGGTTAACAGTTTGAAAACACCAGCTGCTTAGCAGGAGAAAGACTGGGCTTTCTACTCTGTTCACACATCATGCAATAGTCTAAACATATTGAAGAGAGCTGTGTACTGTCACTACAACAGTTTTAGAACATTTTCTTCGTTTGTGTACTCATTATTAGCTCCACATTTCCCCCAGCCCCCCAAAACTATTAATCCAGTTATTCTCTATATAGATTCACTTACCTGGATTTCATATAAAGAAAAACATGCAAGAATAAAAAGCAAAAAACAAAAACTCAGTAACAGTAACAAAATAATACTTAGAAAAACCCCAGTTGACAAATATGTATCTAATTTTCTGAGGGGTTACCAACCGTTTCTTTAAGCAGTTTTATATAAATTTACATACACACCATCAATGGAAAGGGGTTCCAATGTCACAACTTCTTTGCCAACGGTTGTGTTCTTTATTAGTAGTAATGAAGTGATAGCTCATAGTAGTTTTTTTCACAAATCATACGATTTAATTGTTCAATAATATTAAGAAGGTTTGTCCACATGAAAGTCCACCTGGAAAAAGCACACCAGCCTGTGTCATGCAAGGACTGTCATAATAAAACCCCAATCTGAAGGAGGGAATGGTATCAGCATTTAAATTACGAACACCCATTTTGTAGAAGACTATGAATGATAGTAGAAGCCCCCAAATCCATTTGCTGTGTCCCCACGTCATTAAGTCTGTCGTGAATCCCCTCTGACCAGAGTCAAGGATATGAATAGTCCTGCTAGCAGACCGAGCATTGTGAAGGCAGGTATGGCAGATGTAGTCAGGTTAAAATACAATACCCTGTGATTTGATCTCCCTTTAGACTCATTCTAAAGTTGTTTCCATTTTCAATGTTTTCTGCTTTCTCTTTGACTGAAGGTTATCTGAATTTTGTCTAGTCATTCTTACTGGGTTTTGTTTGTTTGTGTGTTTGCTTGCTTTGGATGGGGGCGGTTTCTCGAGCAGGGAGAAAGAACATGGAACGCAAATAGACACACATACACAGAGACAGACACACAGACTCAGAGACAGTACAGGGCTGCAGCACAAATTAGACACCGACAGAGACGGTACAAAACTGCAGCAGCCTCGACAGCCCGCAGTGCTTTATTATTTATCTACTAACTACCGGCAGTGTTCCCAGACAAGTTTGCTCTTCCCACACTTGAATTTCTCATAACCTTGAGAGTGAGTTCCGTATCTCGGCCCATCCTGATGTTAACATTTCTACTAGGGAAATACTGTGTGCAGCTGTTTCCACAAATCCTCCCGCTGTTTGCAGTACGGATGCTGTTTATGAGAACCAGCTAGGTCAGACGTGTGCGTCCTGTCCTAGACAGATACATGCCACGAGACACAGTGCTCCTCTCCCGGCTCCTTCAGCTTCGTATGGTTGTGTTTTGTGTTGCATGGTTTTCTGTGTAAGAATCCGGATAGGTAGGTCTGTAGACAGTAACTGCATAAGGTTATGGCAGAGGACGATGGGGGCAAATGGGAGCTAATAACAATGAGTCTGAGGGGAAAGTGGCCTGAGCCTGATTGTGGTATCATTCCATTGTTTTCAAATCACCTGAGAAGATTCCTGGTTCGGCAAGTGTTGAAAAAACGGTATTTTAAGTATGTCAAGTACTACCTAGCCGACCATCTGACTCTCTCGGGGGTAGTTTAAAACACATGGATAATTGCTTGATAAAATGGAAATAATACTGAGGTCTGAGGGGGAAGTGTACTGAGGGATACGGCAAGTGGCCACCAACCTTCTGGCTAGTAAGTGAGCACTGTGTGAATCCTTCAAACAACATGTGTTTTGAATTCCAAGCGGCTCTATAGTGGTGTGGCACGACGATTTTGGGGGTGTTAGACTGCCTGCAGGAGCCTTGGCTCAGGGGTCAAGCCCATCATGACAGTGAATCAAAAAAGGCCAAGGTTGGCAGTGTAAGCCCACTAGCAGCTTCAGAAGAAAAACGTGGTGGTCAGCTTCCGTCACGACTGACCCCTCGGACGCCCTGCGGGTCAGTGCTGCTCACTGTGCCCATGAGGCTGCTGGGCATCGCAGGGACTCAACAGCAGCGGTTGGGTGGGTTAGGGGGTGGGCGGAAGCCAGAGGTCCTTCCATGGGTTCTGTGTCAGTGATCCGCTCACACACATCAGCTGAGGTTCCGTAAGGTCGTGCAAGTTTTGTCAGATTCTGCCGCAAAACCTCTTTCTCCAGACTTCCCATATCATCTTTGTTGATAAGTGGTTGCATTTGCTGAATTTATGAATATAACTCAATTTATTTGTATTGCATATAGGTAGACATTTGTGGGGGGTCTTGTCAATTTTTCACTGTCATAAAGCTGTAGTGAACACTCGTACACATCTCCATAAGCACAAACAGGGTGGGCATTTTTATGAAAATATAATTTTTTACAGCAACATGTTAAAAAGTATTGTAATGTGTTTATGATAAATACCATGGGGCGGGGAGGGTGCGGTTGGCAAAAAAAGCCTCTAAGACACTCATCGTTTGCATAAAAATGAAGCCTTCCCTAATTGTTTCTTCTACTCAGGTAAGAAGTATTCTCTACATAGCCCAAGGGGGCGGGGGAAGCGATCAACCATTCTAATGCTCTCACACATGAAAATACCAAAGATTTTAAAATAATATTGTGATGATAGTTTAACCTGTGTCCTCTCACATAAGTCACCAGGGATACTCTTTGTGGGCATGCTAAAGCTTAGTTCTAAGCCGTAGAATAGTTTAAGGTAGAATAGCAAGTGAGTTAGTTAATTGTGCCAGCCTGGCCGATAATCACATGTGGTGCTGGTTGAAAGGCGGAGGGATAAATGGGTGGTGAAGCCTCGCCTTTCCAGTTCTTGGGTCTCTTGTTTTGTGATGGTTGTATCGGGTGCAGCTGCCTTAGCAGTTCCCTGCTTCAGCTTGCAAGACTGACTTCCTCCAAGACATCCCCAAGGAGAAGCCGCATGGATCTATCCCGATGCAGCCCTGGGTGCTGGAGCAGCCGTGTGGAGACCCTTGCCAGTGCTGAGATGCTTACACGTTCATGGACTCAGCTTTCCTCCTGCAGTCGGCATCATTGCCTCTGTTTTGTGAGGTGGAGGACTTTGTGGACTGGTGTTGGGTTAATGGGTTAATGTTGGACTTGTGGGCTTGGGCAGCATTGGGTTGGGATGTTTTCATGATGCACCTTTTCTTTACATAAAACTCTCTCTTATACGTGAGTCGCCGTGGATTTGTTTCTCCAAAGTACCTAGACTAATACAGCAAGTCACAAAGGGTTAGCATACGATCAGAGATTTAGGGCCAATTTGTGGTTGTTGTGTCCATTCCAATTTATAGAGGCCTGTCGAACTCCCTCCCTAGGATTTTCCAGACTGATCTTTATGGGAGCGAGGGCCCGCTCTTCTGGTCGGTTCTAACTAAGCACGTCACTGCTGCACCTCAAAGACCCCTGCCTGAGGGTCCATTGAGGGACTTCTCGTCTCCTCATCTCACTGATCTTGCGCCTTTCCCGTGGTCCTTTCCCGTGGTCTCGAGCATAAAGTTGGTTGGAGTCTGGTGAGTCACAGTTCCCTTTCCATGGACCCAAACCCAAGTGACTACAATCTTGCCATGAATTTAATATGATTTTTATTAGAAGTATACAAGTAGCCCATTTATTTCCCTGGAAGGGAATACATAACATGGTTTTATTGATTTTTATTTCAGTTATTGGTGCTCTTAAGGACTGGGCGCAGTTAGATACTCTAAACCAGCCGTTCTCCACCTGGGCGTCATGACCCCTTTGGGGGTCGAACGACCCTTTCACAGGGGTCACCCGATTCATAACAGTAGCAAAATTACAGTTGTGAAGTAGCCCTGGAAATAATGTTATGGTTGGGGAGGGGGGTCACCCCAACATGAGGAGCTGTATTCAGGGTCGCGGCCTGAGGACAGCGGAGAACGCTGCTCTGGAGTATCCAGAGATGACAAAAGAACCCTCGGAAGAGCGTGGAGTAGCCCAAGGAGGAGCTGCTCAGAAACACCCATCCCCGGACTTCGTCATGAAATGGAATTTTTATTTTCTCCTTTAGTGTCACCCGGGCAATGCGTGTCTCCTGCTGTTGATGAATCATCTCCGAGGACGATGGATCATGCTGAAGAAAATGACATCCTTGCGGCAGCCCAGAAGTACTGTGTGGACAGGCCTATCTTCAGTCATCCCGTCCTCCAGGAACGGCTACACACAAAGGAGAAGATTTCCGACTCCATTGGGGATAAGCTGAAACAAGCGTTCACGTATGTTGTGTTTTCGCCTGTTTCCTTTGTACGGTGGTCGACTTATAAGTCGAGAAAGCTCTCCAATGAAGTAGATAAAAGAGTGATGGTGGGCACTCAGCACTGTCCACACTGTCCAGTGGTGGTAGGTGTCTGAGTGGTCACGGGCTTCATGGTGTGTGTCACCTCGGTTGCTAAACAGAAACACCACAAGTGGTGGCTTCTGCCCACAGAAAATGTTGCTCTCGCCATTCAGGAGACGAGCACCCGAATTCAGGGCCTAGCTCCAGGAGAAGGCTTCTCTTGTCTCTGCTGGCTCTCGAGGAAGGTCCTGGTCTCCATCTTCCCCTGGGTCTAGGAGGTTGTCCGCTCGGACCCTGGGTCCAAGGATACCGAGAAGAGCCATGTCAAGCTCTTCCCTCAGAGGGGTTGGAACACTCTGTCATTTGTCCACCGCAGGCATCTACGCCATTGGTTAGCACCGGGAATCCAAGTCCCCGACATAAAGTGTCAAGGACCCTCCGTGTGCTATTCTCCGCATTTTGGAGCCTACGTTACACTGCTAGATTACAGATTAGGAATGTTAGTGCATGGGGGACTCATGCTATCCCATGATTGTCCCCAAACTCCAAACCAAACCATTGAACGATGTCTCCTGAACCCTCGAGACCATGCATCTGCACACTGTGCTCACTGATTCTTCAGAGCTACCCTGTACTCTAAATGTTACTCTCAGGAGGAGTTAAAAATGTCAGCACCATTGCCAGACTGTCTGAGTTTTAATTCTGGTCTCACCATGACCCACTGTGTTCTTGGTGTGGTTGTTGCTAGGCACCATTGAGTGGGTTCTGACCCATAGCTGCCGTGTGCACAGCAGAAGCAGACTCTGCACAGTCCTGTAACTGGGTACTAATCATAGTGCCCACTTCATAGGTTACTGGGGGCAGTGGGGTGTTCAATACATTCGTGTATGTTAAGTGCTAAGTAGGCTATGTAAGTGATAGCTACTGTTGATACCTCAATTTTCCAAAAAGAGACTGGTATCAAATCCAATTTTTTCATCCTACCTTAGTGCTTTTGCCATAGATGCCTATGCTTTGCTAACAAGACCGTCCTTTATCATATTACTAGGTACTCTTCAGCTCTCAGACACCGTGTAAACAGCATGTACACTGTAATAAAATACTGTCTTCTGTAAGGAATAAAGTGTGTATCTGTTACCCAGACGACCACGGCTGTCGTGGTAGTTAGTAGCAGAGCTGCACTCAGCTGTCCCTATTCTGATTCAGTGACTTCTTTGATTACCAGCTGAGACATGGTCTGTGTATCAAAGTGAATTGGACCATTTGGGGATTCAGTGCAAGGCCTTGAGGTCTTTTGTTTGTTGGTTGGTTTGAACTTTTGTCAAAGCAACTCTGTTTTCCATGCAGCAACTCATAAATACATTTTGCTTCATGACATAGATTGCAGTCCCAGCGGTGCAGCAGCATTCTCCCTACTTCCCCCCTGTGTATTCTGTCTCCATTTGCCCATCTTTCATCTCCCTTCAAGTATCCTGATCTTTATCTTTTTGTCCTGCCTGGTTGATTGTTCTAAGGAGTGCATACCTCCTTGGTATTATTGTTCACCTCCTACACCTGTCTGTGGTTTGGGTGAAAAAGGAGCCACAGGGGTAGTTTAGTGCCATGCCATGGCCTCAGGTATTCTACCACAGGTTCCTCAGGGATTCTGCTCCATCAGACCCGGTAACCTGGTTGGCTTGTTGTTTTTGTTTTGCCTTCTCCTTCACCCAAGTTAATTCTAAAACTGGTCTTTGTGTATGATTCTCCCACTCTATCAAGGACTTTCTACTGTGATCCCTTTCAGAATAGTTGGTAGTGGTAGCCGAGCACTATCTAGTTCTTCCGGTCTCAGGGTGATAGAGGCTGAGTTTCATGTGATCTCTTAGTTCTTTGGACAAATTGTTTCCATGTGTCTTTGATTTTCTTCACGCTTCTTGGTGCTTCAGAGGCGGAGAGACCAATCATTGCACCTTAGAGGGCTGCTCACTCGCTTCGAAGATCCCAGTCACTACACACCACAGTAGGGCTGTCTTTGTGAACTCTGGTATACCAGTTGACTTAGCTGTGCCTGGAACTGGGATCCTAAGCCTCCTCTGCCTAGTTCAGGGCCTTGGTGTTATCAACATGGTGTTCTACCAACCAAATCAGCTAGACATGGTCCCTGAGCTTGCCGTAACGAAGACTGCACATTGAACACATGTTAATAAGGTTCAGTAATACTTGCGTAAATGCCCTTGATCTTGTGAAAAAGGGGAAAGCCTAAATGGGCAGAGGCTGGTCATTGATTCCATATCAAAAATTGACCTCATCAGTAAATAATTCTCTTTTCTGCCAACATAAAGAATACGCTAAGTATTTCCGTAATAAAATCTCACTGACTTCAAATTAAAAATTTTCTTATTTGTCATAATCAGTTGTAGAGCATCATATTTATATAATTGGTTCCATGATAATGCTCTACAACATATATATATATATATATATATATATATATATATATTAAAAAAGCCCCCTTCTTGCCCCTGATTTCTGCAGTCAAAGTCCCTCCTTGGCACTAGGTCTGCATTCCTATCATTCCAGAGCTTGTGGCTGTTGGCTGGGGTGGTGCCATTGAGTCTGTTCTGATTGACAGCGACCCCAGGTCAACAGGAGGCAGCCCTGCCCGGTCCTGGACCAGCCCCGCAATCAGCGTCATGTTTGCGCTCAGTGTTGCAGCCACGGTGTGAATCCATCTCATCGAGTGTCTTCTTCATTGTCACCTATCCTCAACTTTACCATCTAGGATGCCCTTTTGGAAGAACTGCTCTCTCTTGCAGGAAAAATACTTTGCTGTGAATGAATCCCATGGGAATATTCCTCATGTACGGTTTCATTTCTTTCTTTGTCCTCCCAGATGTACTCCTAAGAAGATAAGGAATATCATTTACATGTTTCTGCCCATAACTAAGTGGTTGCCTGCGTATAAGTTCAAGGAGTATGTGTTGGGTGACTTGGTCTCAGGCATAAGCACAGGAGTGCTTCAGCTTCCGCAAGGTTAGTTGTTTATTTATTTCCTCTTTCCCCCTCATTGTTGTTTCCCCAATTTGCTTGGTTTTTTTTCTCTCTCTCTTTCATCATGATACTAAACTTGCAGTTTTTATGTTTGTAAAAATAATTTTTATATAGCATTCGAGTAACCTTTGACTATCTAAAGAAATTATTGAAACATTTTACTCTTAAAAGGTCCCAGGAATATTCATAATAAAATATGGTGAACTCATTCATCAAATCAATACTTGTTGAGACTACCTGGAATTGCTTTACTTCAATATTGTGTTATAGTAGTTGTTAAACTTCTTGGCTCCTAAGCCCATGTTCTAACAATAAAGAACTATGATGTACCGAGGAGCCCTGGTGGTGTGGGGGCTACTCATTCAGCTGCCAATGGAAAGGTCCGTGGATAGAATCCACTGGTAACTCTGTGGGGGAAAGATGAGACGGGATGTCCTGTGGCAACTTGATAGCCTTTGGTTTGTCCGTTTTGTTGTTGTTTTGACTAAGATAAATGGAAGACCTCTCCAGGTCTGTGAGATTCCTTGACGCATTAAGGGGGACATTTTCACTCATTGATTCAGGAGCAGGTCTATGCAGATGCCCTTTGGGATTTCTATCTGAATTCATCTCGGTTTGCTTTTCATCCCACAGGTTTAGCCTTTGCAATGTTGGCAGCCGTGCCGCCGGTGTTCGGCCTGTACTCCTCATTTTACCCTGTCATCATGTACTGCTTCTTTGGAACCTCCAGACACATCTCCATCGGTAAAAGCCTGCCCTGGGTGTTTCAGTGCCCGGCTTCCTGGATTCCCAAGTTTGGTAGTTTCCCAAAGAAACCGCATGGTCATTATTAGAGCACCTGCTTAAGAACAGTGTTGCTGCATACATAATAGGTGTTTTTTTAATGCCCCTCCTCCCCATCCCATAAGATGATCTGATCATCGGGATGACCAAGAGACACAATTTTCTTATATGCCAAGAACAGGTGTTGAAATCTGTGAAATGAGATGAAATGCTTCATTTCATAACACAGTTTGGATGCATCTAGTATTTCTTTTTATTTATTCCAATAATGGTACTTCAAGTTTCTGGTTACTGTGCCTGTTCTTTTAAAATTTTTATCATATTTTAGGTCCTGAATTATACATATTGTGCATATCTTTAGCATATTTAGGATCAGATGCATATGAATTTCATAAGAATGTTAGCACTGCATGAGACTCCATCCAGCTTACACACACACACACACACACACAATATTATCTATTGCTAAGTAATAAATACCCACAAATTTAGCAGCTTAACGCATTTTACATTTATCTGTCATGGTTCCTGTGAGTCAGGAAGTGGGAAGCGCTTGTCTGAGGGGTTCAGATTCAGGGTCTTTCGTAGTTGGGAATGAAATGATAGTTGGAGAGGTGGACTGAATCTGTCTTTCTCTCTCACCCTCTCCCTCTTTATCTTCTTCCCCTTCTCTCTTCCTCTCATTCTCTCCCCTCCCTGTTTCCCTCCCTTCCACCTTGTGGTCCCAGACTTGACCGTTCTTACACATAGTGGCTCAGGGCACCAACACAAACATTGAAACGCTCCAGACAGCCGCTGCATCACTTCTGTGACCTAGCCTCAGAAGTCCCTTGCTATCGCTTTGACTGTATTTGTGATGTTGTTGCTGCTGCTAGCAAGCCACAAGCCCACTCGGACACCACAAGGAGAGGAGGATTCCTCTGTCCTTTGGATGACAAAGGGGCACCATTCCAAAGAGCATGTGAATGGGGTGGGGGTGGAGAGTATGTCAATGGGACAGACTATAGTGGTCATTTCTGGAAAATACAATCGATCACCAAAAAACCCCACCTTACACAACAGAAGCAGACTGCCAGAGGAGAGCAGTGGAGTTTTACTTCAAGGCTAGCCCTTTGTGCAGACCTGTGTCTTTGGTATAATGACAATAACTGCATTTGACACATTCAAAGAGTTTCCTTGGGGAGGGAGTGGGCAGAAATGAGGAGCTGATCCCAAGGGCTTAAGTGGAGAGCAGGTGTTTTGAGAATGATGAGGACAACGAATGTGCAAATATGCTTGACACAATTGATGTATGTGTGGATTGTGATAAGAATTGTAAGAGCCCTCAATAAAATGATTTAAAAAAAAAAAGTTTCCTTGGACTCCTGCGCGGTGCTCATCGTGCGTCGTTATTTCAGGGCCCTTTGCGGTGATTAGCCTGATGATCGGTGGCGTGGCCGTTCGCTTGGTACCGGATGACATCGTGATTCCCGGAGGCGTCAATGCAACCAACGGCACAGAAGCCAGAGATGCCTTGCGAGTGAAAGTCGCCATGTCGGTGACCTTACTTTCAGGAATCATTCAGGTAAAGATCAGAGATGGGGAAATGGGCCCTGGCTTGCTCACATGATCTCTAAAGAGCACTCTGGGTCCGTCAGGAAGCATCTGTAGACCGGGGTCATAGTATCGTGGGAGCCCCGCTGCCCCTGTGCGCCCTCCTCTCCACCGCTGGCACTGAGGAGCAGCTGGCGAGCTTTGAAAGCTCCGCTGGTTACGTGTTTGGCTGTAACCAGAAAGCTGGTGGCCCAAAGCCACAAGCCACTCCACAGGAGAAGAGATGCGATCTGCTTCTAGTAAGCTGAAGGTCTAGGAAACCTCCAGGACAGGACGAGTCTACGCTGTCCCCCAGGGCTCCTTAGTGTAGGGCAGCAGAAGCTCAGTGGCAGTGGGGTTAGGAAGAGCCAACTGAAAGCCTCGATGAACCCCCCGGAAAAGGTCTGCATTTGAACCTTGCAGCCACTCCACAGGGGACGACCTGGGGATGGGTCCTGTAGCTGTCCCAGACTAGGAAACCCCGTGGAGAAGCTCTACCCGATCCCACGGGACCAGGGTGAGTTGAAATTGACCCAAGAGCACCCAGCAACAGCAACAAGCTTTCACTGGGTCCACGAAAGATCCCCAAAGTGAGGCAAGCTGAGCTGGCAGGATGGGGACACGCTGGGAACAGGGCTGGTCTTGTCTGCTTGGGAGGAACAGCAAGTGATAAGGTGTCGCAGGGGCACTAGGCAAGTCCACAGGTCCGCTGTGGAGGTGGCAGTGCTGGGCAATGCTTTGCAGGGCTCCACGCCTTCATTCTTTGCAGTGAAACCAGTGACTGACTGGTTGCTTCACTGCTGCTGAGCAAGAGCAAACGGTCCAAAGAAAAGCCGTAGTGTGTTTTCTGTGGGTTTCAACTTCCTGATCTCCCATGTGATTTATCTGTTTCTTTGTCATTAAAAAAATAGTTTTGCCTAGGTGTCTGCAGGTTCGGATTTGTAGCCATATACCTCACAGAACCGCTGGTCCGGGGGTTTACCACCGCCGCCGCTGTGCACGTCTTCACCTCCATGCTGAAGTACCTGTTTGGCGTTAAAACCAAGCGGTACAGTGGCATCTTTTCCGTGGTATATGTAAGTAAGCAGCTTCCTGGTTTGCCAGCCCTGGTTTTTCTTTCATTTCCTTCCCCTATTCTTCACCTCAAGTCTCATTACCACCACTCCCCCAATTCCCTCCCAGAATCCCTGTAAAAACAAAGTGCCTCTGGACTTTGCTTCTCAGAACATTCAAGCCGAAAGCTATTTTTATGGCTATGTGATTCTGTCTACTTCACAATAGTCTTTCAGTGGGGGTCCTTATCTGGTGATTATATTCCAACCTAATTAGCTGAAGAAACCAGCTTTCCTCAATACCCAATTATGTCTTCGATGGGAAGGACACGAATAATTAAAAGGCAGTGGGAGAAGGTCTCGCTCTCAAAAACTGCTAACCAAGCAGACAGCAAGCAAGCAAGGCTATAAAATAAAGATTTAATGGACACAGTTAACCAGCTTTGTCTAATCAAATATATACAGACTCTTGTACTCCGCTCAGAAAATATAAATTATTTGCAAGCACATATGGAACCAAGGGCAGCAAGTTATCATGGAGTAAGCCATGAAATCTAAAAAGTCTATTTTTTTTCACGTGGTACAATCTAATTAGATGTCAATAACTAATTATAGCTTTAGAATCCCACACATTAGGCGGGGGTGGGAGACATACTTCTAAATAAAAATGGACATTATAACATAGTTAGGACCAAATAACAGTGAAAGTACTACATATTAACACTTGTGAGGTGTTACTAAAGCTGTCCTTGCGAAGAAAGGCAAATAGCTTCTGTAGGTAAATAAAAGCCTACTCTTGACCTTGGCACTGGTAGGTGCTGGCGTACGGCAGTGAGTGAAGAAGTCATGGCTCTGGCTCTCTCTAGCTTTCAGTTTTGTGAGAAGACAGCTATTAAACCTTAATCATTGACAGCATACTTCTTACTCCGAGATTTCCCTACGTGCTTTGTCACAAGAGAACTATACCCCACAATTACACCTGCTTATGCTCCAGGCCTGAGAAAGGAGGGTGTGTGCCTGGGCTCCCAAGTTTCCAATATGCACTACTTCTGGGGTTCCCAGATGGTAACCTGGGACTATCATGAAGTGGCTTTCTTCAAACTTATACTATTCCCTTCCTGAGAATTTGCCTTCTCACCCCAGATATTCTGAATCAGAATTGGCATGTTAGAAAGATCCCTAATAATTCCCTGGTTTTTTCTCTAGTTCTCCTGGTTCCGTTCCAAACTTCAGCACTTCTTACACTTCTTCCACACATCATACAATTCAGTAATTCAATCATATCAAGAAGAGTTGTACAGTCATTGCCAAATCAATTTTAGCACATTTTCTTCAACCCTCCTTTGATTTCAATCTCTCTCCCACCTACTGTCAAATGATTTCTGCCCGCTGCCACTCCTGCATGTGTTTGCTTTTGGATTGATTTGCTGCCACCACTGCTTAATTATTTCCTGACGCTCAGGACTCAGGTTCAGCTTTACTTTTCTGGATGCTCTAATACAGTGGTTCTCAACCTGTGGGTCATGACCCATTTGGGGGGGGTGTCGAAGGACCCTTTCACAGGGGTTGCCTAAGACCACCGGAAAACACATAAATATGTGTTTAGATGGTCTTAGAAACCGAGACACCACTCCTCTATCCATCTCCAGGCAGGTCCGCCCACAATACAGATAACGCCCATATATGAGTACGTGGTGTGAAGACATCATTGCTCCAACCCCATCACATAACACCCTGAACAAATACAGGTGTATGTGACAGGGTTGGCGCCATAATGTACTTATGCGGACCAGTCACACATGTAGAGAGCAGCTGCTGTGTAGAGAGCAGCTACTGTGTTGAAAGCAGCTGCTCTGTTAAAAGCAGCTACTGTGTTGAAAGCAGTAGTATTGGAGGTAAAACGACACTTCATGAATATAATTACATATTGTTTTGTGATTAATCACTATGCTTTATGTTCAGTTTTTAACAATGAAAATATATCCTGCACATCAGATATTTACATTGCAATTCATAACAGTAGCAAAATTACAGTGATGAAATAGCAGTGAAAATAATTTTATGGTTGGGGGGCCCCCACAACATGAGAAACTGTATGAAAGGGTCACGGCATTAGGAAGGTTGAGAACCACTGCTCTAATACTACATTATGCTGTCAGTAGAATGAAAAGAAAGGTGGGGACAAAAAGGTTACAAGGTTGTTGGCTACGAATTATGAGGGTGAGTGGAAGTGCCTCCTTCTTGGTGGAAGCACCAGGAGTTCTCGTTCAGCGGGCGAGCTTGGGCTGGAAGCATCAGGAGGGGGATGGCTGGTGTGAAGTGTGCACTAGAGACTCTGCTCGGGGCCATTTCTTGATCTAAACACCCAGTGTTCGCTGTGTTACAGAGTACAGTTGCTGTGTTGCAGAATGTTAAAAACCTCAACGTGTGTTCCCTAGGCGTCGGGCTGATGGTTTTTGGTTTGCTGTTGGGCGGCAAGGAGTTTAATGAGAGATTTAAAGAGAAATTGCCAGCACCGATTCCTTTAGAGTTTTTTGCGGTAAGTCAACTCAACCCAATGGCTGTTTCTATAACAGCTCACTCTTCCTGTCAGGACTTTCAAAGCGGATGGGGAAGAACAAGGAGGTAGAGACTCCCCCCCACCACTCAGTTCTGCTAAGGGAAGGTCAGAATCTGTGGAAGTGAACTTGAGAAAAATACACTGACAAAAAGCTTCCAAGTGCAGACAAGATTTTAAAGACACGTGGGAAAGCCACACACGCACATTTTGACATTATCTCTGAGTGGTGGGATTTTGGAAGATTTGTGTTTCTCATTTTGCAGAATCTGATTTTTTTAATGGATAGGTATTACTTAACCGCCCCCCGACACTATCCCCCCCAAAAAAACCCAAACCCATGGCTGTCAGTCATTTTCAAGTGTAACAACTTAGTGCATCTTTTTAAAGAATGATACCCATAAATTGAAAGGACAAATATTGCACTGTCTTTCTAAATAACTGTCACTATTTTTAATGGGATGGGTATGCGTGTGAGCACTGCACAGCTTCTCAGATCTGAGAATCAGATTTGTCCCATCGACCCTCGACATGACACCGTGGGTACACCCTGGGCTTCCTAACCAAAAGGTCAGCAGTTTGAACCCACCAGCTACTCTCTGCAAGAAAGATGAGGCTATTTGCTCCTGGGAATATTTCCAGGGATCACTGTGAGTAGGAATCCACTCAATGGTGCTGTGTTTTGGACCCTCCACATTGATTTTTTTGTGGGGGACCAAAAAAACCACAGTTTGAATCCACCAGCTGCTCCACAGGCAGAAAAATCCAGAGTTCTACTTCCATAAATATTCCAAATGGAAACCCTGTGGGACAGAGCTACTGTGTGCTGTAGGGTCACTGTGAGTTGTAATCAACTCAACAACATACAACGACCATCCAGCCACTGAAAACCCACCTATGCCCAAGCCCATCACTTTCCCAAGGAATGGGCATGCAGATCGAAAGTGTGAACTCCCTCAAACAAGAAGTTTGAATGCTATCACATTATGGGGATGCAACCAATATTACAAATCTGTGTGCATTGTTGAATGGAAATCCAGTTTGCTCTACAAACTTTCATCCAAATGATAATAAAAAGTTTCCTGGAAAGTTTGTACAATATCTGATGTCAGTTTTTTCTGACAGATGCCACTATTTCTCTTGAAGCTTATACTGTCCCGTGGTGCCCTTTGCATGCTCTCAGGTGCCCTGGAGTGCCTGGAGACAGAGTTCAGGAACAAGACTAAGTAAAAAGCCCAGGTGTCTGATGCACATTTAGCTAAACGTTCCAGCCACAGAAATAAGGGCTGGTGTAAGTGACAAAGCAGCCTTTCCTTTGACGTCTTTTGACCATTTGGTTTTGTCCCAAGAGCAAGATTATCTCTTTCTCTTGGAGCTGCATGCTATTCCTGTTTCCTCTTGGAGTCTAAAAGCTGGTTCTGAGCTCCCTTATGTTAGAAAGAAGACAGCTCCCCACCATCAAGTTGATTCTTAACTCATAACGGCCCTATGAGACCAGGTAGAACCATCCTTGTGGATTTCCAAGGCGATAAATCTTTACAGGAGCAGAAAGCCTCGTCTTTCTCCCATGGAGTTCCCAGTGGGTTTGAACCACCAGCGTTTCCTTTAACAGCCAAGCCAGAACAGCAGTGGTTTTAATTGCCTGGCTTGGGTCATTGCAGATTCCTCATAGTTTCCTAGGGCAACAGCAACAGTTGTCATCGTTGCTGTTCAATGCAACTGAATCCATTTTCACTCATAGAGACTCTGTGATAGAATAGAACCATCAACATAGGTAGATGCATTTGAATTGTGGTGGTGATGAAAAATATTGAAAGTACCATGGACTGCTAAAAGGACCAACCATCCTTGGAAGAAGTATGGCAAGAGTGGTCCTTAGAGGCAAGGCTATCAAGACTTCGTCTTATATACTTTGGACGTGTTAGAAGAGACTGGTCCCCAGATAAGGACATCATGCTTGGTAAAGTGGAGGGCCAGCAGAAAAGAGGAAGGCTCTTGACGAGATGGAGTGATGCAGTGACGGCAACTGTGGGCTCAGGCATGGGAGCAGTTGTCAAGATAAGGACATCATGCTTGGTAAAGTGGAGGGCCAGCAGAAAAGAGGAAGGCTCTTGACGAGATGGAGTGATGCAGCGACCGCAACTGTGGGCTCAGGCATGGGAGCAGTTGTGAAGATAATGCAGGACTTGGGCGGGGTTTTGTTCTGTTGTGCATAGGTTCTCTGTGGGTCGGAATGACAATGGACCCTAACAACAGCAGCAACAACATAGGGTTTGTAGACTGTAATCTGTATGGGAGCCAACAGTCAGGTCTTTCTCCTTTGGAGCTTCTGTGTGGGTTCAAACTGCCCATCTTTTGGTTAGCAGTAGAGCACTTAGCCATCGCTCTGCCATCGCTCCTATCATTGTAATTATGGTCTGGTAATCATACCTCAAGCCCAGAGCATTCTCCAGAGCAAGAGGTAAGAGAAGCCATACTGGAGAGTTTGAGGAGACGCTTCATGACTCCCTGAAGCACAAGACTTGTTTTTTGTAATAAAAATTTCTGCAAGTTTTACACCCTATTTCATAAAGCATCTACTTGTTAGTAGGAAAACAACAGTTCAAATTACTTACCATAGAATGAAACTGATGGACCAGGAACTTGGGCCTGTATCTCCTGTGGACTTGACTATCCTACACACACTCTCAATTTCTCAATAAGTGTAATTAGAGATGATACACAACAGAAAAGGGGCCCAAAGCACTTGTGTTTCTGGTCTTTGCAGCTGCTGATTTGAACAATAACTTTACTGTATGATTGGTTCCCTGGTGGTGTAGTGGTTAGGCATTGGGCTGTGATCCACACGGCCAGCAGTTCAAAACTACCAGGTACTTCTACAGAGAAAGACAGGGCTTTCTACTCCCATAAAGAGTTACAGTCTCAGAAACTCACAGGGGCAGTTCTACCCTGTCCTACAGGGTTACTATGAGTCGACATCGACTCTTGGCAGTCAGAGAGAGAGAGCAGTGGCCACCACTTGTGACGGTCTAGTGCCCTTCTTTCTTCTCTCCAGGCAAACCCACTGAGAACGTTCTACAGCAATGCTGTGCCAAGGACGTCATTTCAACACGTAGCAGCAACTCCATACTAAACTAGAACTGCCCCACAGAGTTATGGATGCAAATCTCCAGGACTGTCTTTCCCTCATGGAGCCGCTGAGTAGTTTTGAACTGCACACCTTACAGTTAGTAGCAGAGCACTTATCCATGACCCCTGGGGCTCCTTATAGAGTAGCCAGTCGCTCCTGGGAATGAAGAAGATTACTATCAACCTTTCTGGTATTCTTTCCTTCTTGTAGCTCACTAAGGGTTGTACTTCTCTCCCCAACTAAATCTATGCCCAGGCAGTCCAGGATGGCCTTGCGTCCGGTGACGTGTGGTTCTACTTTGACCCTGAAATGAGAGAAGACAACTGTGGGTCACTGATGGGGGCCTCTAACTACACGGCTGTCCTCCTAACAGGGCCACAGGGGGAGTCTGAGTGCACACACGCATCTCATAACGGTACACCGTCATTGTACACAATACTATGTCATCAGGTGTATTAGTGGGCTGGGTTTGGGGTTATTTATGACATCTTGGTCAGAGACTCTTTGTGTCTTTGTCAAAAGAAAGTCAAGACCTGAGAGGTTTTATGGCAGTGGTTCTCAACCTGTGAGTCGCAACCCCTTTGGGGGTTGAACGACCCTTTCACAGGGGTCGCCCGATTCATAACAGTAGCAAAATTAGAGTTATGAAGTAACAACGAAAATAATGTTATGGTTGGGGGGTCACCACAACATGAACTGTATGAAAGGGTTGCGGCATGAGGAAGGTTGAGAACCACTGCTTTATGACCTCATTCAGTGACATTCAACTAACCAGATACCACAGGAGGAAACAGAACAAAAGAATGCCAGCCTACAGGAAACTGTCATCGTCGTTTTAATTATGTGGGATGGTAGATTTGCTGGAATGAACTGTCATTATTGTCTTTCCAAAGGAACCTTACACAAGAATGGGTTTGGGCTTGACTAAGAAGTTCTTGGAAGCTCATTTTGTGGTGCTTGCATTTCCGCGTGCGAAGGTGCATTGGGAGCTGTGTCTGTTTCAGGTGGTCATGGGGACCGGCATTTCAGCGGGGTTTAACTTGAAAGACTCGTACAACGTGGATGTTGTTGGAACACTTCCTCTGGGGTAGGCGATTGGGTTCATTTTCGGTCACAGTGTGGCTAGAATAAAGAGTACTGTTGCAATAGGCTATTGCAACGAAAGTAGATCTTTCTTCCCCCCCACACATCAAAGAACTCACAGTCGGTGTGCATGTGAGTGTGTGACTTTGTATTTTATTTTGTGGTTTTTTTCTTATTGTTTAGCAGTCAACGACTATTAAAAACTCACAGCATGGCATGGTACGACTATTAAAAACTCACAGCATGGCATGGTAATTGACAACTTCAGCTTCCTTGTCAGAAAGACCTAACCCCTAGCAGCATGCCCTTGAGCAAATGTCTTAGTTTCTCAAAGCCTGTGTCCTCATCTGGCAGCTGGACATGATAATTACCATATATACTCAAATATCAGCCGAGGCACATTTTACCACAAAAACTGCATTAACAATGTGCTTATAGACGAGTCTATATGGTAATATGTGTGGGTGGTGTGAGGTGCAGGAAATGCATGTCAAGCATGGTGTGGTACAGTTCGTCCCGGCACACAGCACAGGGTGAGCAGTTCACATGTGTGCATCGCGTGTAACTGGCTGTCTCAGCTAGTTTCAAATCAAGATTTACTTATTTTCCTTCATTATTTTCGTTTATCCAAGGCTTTATATTTTTAATGTGTGATTCGCTGTATATTCGAAGGAACGAAAGTGGTTACTAGCAGCTCCTTGTCTTCTTGTCCGTCTCTGACACTGGTTGCCTCTCTCTGAATTTGTGTCTCTTTCTCTTTCCTTTATGGTCTCTGTCTCGCTGACTCTTTCTCCCCTCACCCTCTGTAGTTTCTCCAAAAGAATGTCCATGGCGCACAGCCGGACATTTCCCCAGATGTTGGACATTGACGGCGTCCGGCCTGTTCAAATCATCTGCTCTTCGTGACAGTTGGTATCCTGAACCTGTCATTTAGAACAATTCCGTGTAAAGCCGCAGCACAGTTAAAGAGCACCTTGCTTTCCTATTGGGGTTTATAATTTATAAAATGCTTTATACCCACCATCTTATTGATGCTTACTGTAACCCGATTAACAATGTAGATCACTAGCCCCACTTTACTGGTAAGAGTGCTCATTGATTCCCACTCGTTCCGCATATGCGTATTGAGGGCTAGTCTTTGCCTGGGACATAGCAATTAAAAACAAAAAGAGAAGTCCTTATGGTCTACTGAGGGAAACAGATCATAATCCAGTAAGCAAATCCTGAGAAGGGCTGTGAAGCAGCGTGAAGCCAGGGGAGGGGAGCAGAGCCTGGCGGTGCAGTTTCAGGTAGAGTATCAGGGAAGGCGACATTTGAGAGCCGCGGAGGAGGGTCGGCGACTCCCTGGTGAGTCCCAGCCTGCACTCCAAACTCAGTCTTTCCATGACCTCACACGGGGTCTCTAACAGAAAGTCATGTGATGAACATTAGTCTTTGATTGGATCCAAAATATAATCCTGTTCAGTGACTAGTCACACCTCATTTGATTAAATAGAAAATTCTTATATTTAGATATATGTTTAAAAAAAACAACAATAACATGCTGATAGGTTAAATCCATAGACCATCGAATTTCCACCTATACTTGCCATTTATATTATATCCAAATCTGTTGCTCTCCCACATGTGGGAAAACAGATTTTCTAATTTTAAACAACATTTTATCATCCTGGAACTTGGTCACAGAGAAAGTATCTTTTGGAAACTTGGCTCAAAACAAAGCAGGAAACTAAATGTTAACCTACTTACCTCTCCACATACAATCATACTGCCTCGTTATCTGTGAATTTGCATAACAAACAGTGGCTTCTCATCACCGCGATTCCTTTGTTCGCAATTCTTCGGCTGAGGCCAGGCCTGCTGGGTGGCTCTTCTGCTGGTGGCACCTGTGTCTCTCCACAGCTGCAGACGTCGGAGGGCACTACCGATGCTGGAGGACTGTCCTCGTGGGCCTGACTCCCCAAGGGGAACGTCTGAAACTGAGGGCTAGCTGCCACCTTGTCTCCACAGGCATCTCCAGTAGGTCAGGTTAGCCAGACACCTGTACGTGGGAGCTCAGAGCAATAAGAAAGAGCAAAAGCAACCAGGCCAGGCCTCATAAGCCACTTGTGCAACATCACCTGTGCCGCATTCTGTTGGGCAAAGTAAGTCACAAGGCCAGACTGGTTTCAATACACATATCTGTACATAAGAGGAATGGCGTGCACACACAAGGATGGGGGGGGGCAGTCATATTTGCAGCAAACTACCACCTATCTGCACACACAAGTAAATACATAAAGCTGCAGAACCAGAAACTGACTACTACGGGTCCCAATCATGGCAATAGATCTTGTTCTTCATTACTTTTCTTACTCCTACAGTACATCCTTTCTCCTTCCCGTATCCCTCGGGCCTAAACCTGATGCTAGGCCTTCCCTTCCAGTTAATTATGAGGCAGCAAAGTGCACAGGAAATGAATGGCATAGTCTGGTTGCCTGGACTGAACTCCGTGGTCCAACTTGGGCAAGCTTCTTAGAATCTGCAAGCCCGTTTCTTAACCAGTGAATGTGGAGAATATGTCATGTCTTCGATGGGATTGTTGTGAAAATCAGTAAGAACACATACATAAAGCATCTTGCACATACTTGAGGCCTACTAGATGGTAGGTTCTTCCCACTTCCCCACGCTGTTGAATTTGAGGTGTCCCGATCCTCACCTGTGCTCTGAGAGTTTACAGGAGGAGGTGCGTGCAGGTGGAGGTCTTCGTGGCTTTTGTTGCACTTACAAAGAGCACAGGAGATGAGCTCTTTGACCTGGGACAAGTGGCTTAACCCACACCACCTCATTTTCCTCCTCTGTAAAATGAGGATTATCATAGTTGCTACCTCTAATGTCACTGAGCTAATTAGAGACAATTAAATGTACATGGAACCTGGAATATATGACCAACCCAACTCCCTGCCGTCCAGTCAGTGCTGACTCAGCGACCTGTGGGTATCTGAGACTGTAACTGTTTACTGGAATAGAAAGTGTAGTCTTTCTGGAATATATGAAGCACCTACTAAATGTTTTGGTTATAGTATTGTTATTATTTGTTAATTCGTTATTATTAGTATTTCAGTTGAATTGGGACAGGGTGCCTTTGCAAACTTCCATTGTCGATCCCCACTTATAACATCCTAGGGAATCCTTATTTTATTCCTGGAGGATAAGGTCCCAAACTGAGAATAAGACCACAAAACCCAATTTCCCATTTGGGGGTTCCAGAAGTCACACTTTTGGACCCGTCCAGATTCAAGAAATTCCAAGGTGAGACCTCAGGATTTTGCTGTTCCTTATCCTTGTTCAAAACTCGTACAAAGTGATCCTAATATGGGAAGCGGTAGTAGATGCTTGCGTCACCCAAGAAAGACGTCTAGTTCTCTGCTCACACTGACTGGTCGGGATGTCTTGTGGCGTCAGCAGTTTGCTGACCCTTTCGTCTTCCTGGTTCTGTCTCGCGATTACCCTTGCTGAACACTGTGCCGTGAGTTATGAAGGTGCTCCTTTTATAAATAAACTGCCTCTGATCTCTGCTGACAACCCCTCAACCCCCTAGGCTTCAGGATTTGGACCTAGACAGAACCAGTTTCCAGGAGGATTTCCTTTGTGCAGAGTAAAAGCTAACAAGTATCTACGCTTTGATCACCTCGTTTGCTGAGAATGTCCCCTAGCATGTTCCCCTCTTGCTGCACGTTTCTCCCCCAATAGTCCCAACAGCTAAGTTAAATTCAGCTTGGCCTTTCAGGCTCCTCCCTCCAGCCAATCCGGACACCAGCCTCTTCCACCTGGTGTACGTGGATGCCATTGCCATAGCCATCGTTGGATTCTCAGTGACCATCTCAATGGCAAAGACGTTGGCAAATAAGCATGGCTACCAGGTTGATGGCAATCAGGTAAAGTCCGTTTCCTGCGGTTGCTTCATAGCAGAACAAGCATCGTACTGTGTAGGGAAGGCAAATGAACTTGACTTACCAGTCTTAGTAGACAAGCTTTAACCTGGCTAATGGGCATATTTGGAGCATGGATTTATTCAACCCTACAAGTTTTTGTTATTGATGTAGGTTAGAGGATCAGGACCCCAAGGCACAGAGTCCTCAGATATAGGGGCTCAGCCAGGAAAGTGAAATCTCTGATCGGACACTTCCTGTGTACCATACGCCTACCGATGCCGTTCTTAATTGTAAAGCTCATAGCCTGGGAATAAGATGTGTCTCCAGAACTCTTTCTTCCCCACTGGGAAGCCTTCTCGTTGTTCCTACCTTTGAGTATGTGATTCACTGCGGAACTGCCCCGACGCTCGGGGCCACCACCTTTCCTATTACAGTTACAGAACCCAGCCAGTGTGAGCTATCATCTTGGCAGGAAAATGCCGACTGCAACATTATGTGCATCTATAGGAGAGATTAAATGTCCCACATTCATACAAGATGCAGTGAGCATGCTAGGCAGCCCCTAGGAGGTAACCCTGGGAGTAAGACTCACTGGTCCCAGGAAAACACTGCCATGCATTTATCGATGAGCAATAGCTCAGGCACTTAAAAGAAGCCAGTAGTCCTAGACACCAAGTAATTTCTCTTAAATAGCCAGAATATTTTGTCCTTTTTGGTGCCATGTTTTTAAAAAAAGTTAACATCATTTGTCGGGTAGAAAGTGTGCTTGGGAAGGAGCCTGGTTAGGGAACATAGCATTTATCTCTAATACAATAAAAATTCAAACTTTCCCCCCAGCACGGAATATGCAATAATTACTTTTTTAACTCGTGCTAAACAAATGCTCAAATCTGAGAACCGATTGAAGAAGCACCCTGAACTCCCGAGAATGGGTATTAAGTGGGCCATCTTGCTTTAGTTCCTGAAGAATGACCAATCTCTTCTGTGCTTTGCTTCCACCTGGACAAGGAGCTCATTGCGCTGGGACTGTGCAATTCCATCGGCTCACTGTTCCAGACCTTCTCGATTTCATGTTCCTTGTCACGCAGCCTGGTTCAGGAGGGCACTGGTGGGAAGACGCAGGTATGTATACAGCTGGCCTCGAGGGACCAGTGATTCGAGTGGTAATTAACACTTGAACCCCTTGATTCTATGCTGAACCCACACAAAGCTACTCTACTGGCAGATCCACACTCCGCAGAGCGGTGTTGTGAGTCAGAGGAAGGCTTGAGTGGATGAAGCCAATCGTAATGAGTTAATTCTGTGGAAAAGAGGTTTATTCTCCAGTGAAAGACAGTTGGCAATGTGCCCTGCTACTAGTCAGTGTCCGAGTTCAACCTTGGGACGCTGCCTGGAGACCCGGAGACTGAGTGGGCAGGATTTCCCAACAGTCCTTTCTGATGTCTCATTTGGCAGTCACAACCACATGGGGCTTAATTTCTAAAACAAAGTCAATTTCTTTGGCCAGATTTGCCACATTTCAAGTGTCCAAGAGTCACAGTCACATGTGAGGAGCGACAACCACACTGGACAGCCAACACTTGTCTGAGCTCTTTTGGCCTTTGAATCTCTGATCTGCACCAGACATGTGCTTGCTTCGACTTCCAGCGATGGCATTTTAGTCGAAGTATTTAAACAGCTTCTCCTTAAAAGCTTTTTGAAGAGGAGCAAAACCTTCAAAGAAGGGTGGGACAGAGTAATAGGTTTATGCCATAGTTTATTTGAATCCCTGTTTTCTTGATCTTCCCACCGTGATGATCAAAAGAGGAAGACCCACGTATGTCCCGCCTCTTAACTCAAGTCTCCTAAAAGCCCCTTCCCTGTGTCTTCTCTCGTTCAGCTCGCAGGTTGTCTGGCCTCGTTAATGATTCTTCTGGTGATATTAGCCACGGGATTCCTCTTTGAGTCATTACCCCAGGTGTGTAGTGTGGACTCGGTGTGAGGTTTTCCTGTGTGCCAAGATCCTATGATTGTATTGCTTCTCTGTGTGGCTGTCTTGATGCGTTCATACTGCAACCCTAGCAAGGGGGAGTGAAGAAGTGACCCTTGCTCCACACTCTGCACTGTCCACCGTCCACAGGGCCTTGGGAAAGTCATGCTAACTTCTTAGGGCCTCGCTTTTCTTATTTACAAAGTGGAAGGTTGGACTGATTGACCAAGATCCCTTCTCTCTTTGGCTTTCTATGACCTGAGGTGGCTTATAATCAAAAGCACTTATTTGCTAATATGTTAATCTAGGATAGATTAAGAATCACAAGAACCATGGAGGAAATAATTCCTGAGTGCCGAGTTGAATTCTGAACTTCTTGGCCACAGTACGTTTGCTATTAGAATACGAGCTTAGTGGTTTTCCAAGACCCAGGTTAGGTGACCAAGGCCTGAAAATCCGGGGTTCGCGACTCAATTGTAGCATCCCGACCACGTAGCAAGGGAATCCTATTAGAGCAAAGGCGTGGGGGGAGGCCATGAATGAGCAAGAGGAGGACACGGAAGAGCCGGCAGAGGGCCGGCTTGGGGCTCAGAAGAGAGGCATACGTGCATGCGCTGTGTTTCAGGCTGTGCTGTCGGCCATCGTGATCGTCAACCTGAAAGGGATGTTTATGCAATTCTCAGACCTCCCCTTCTTCTGGAGAACCAGCAAAATAGAGTTGGTGAGTAAAGAAGGTGAGAGTTAGGTAAATGCGACTTAGCAACAAATGGAGTAGTCCTGATAAAAAGGTGAGAAATGGAAATTAGTTGTCCTTATCTGCAGTCTCCAAGTAGGCAAAGTTCATTTCATAGTTTTGGTTAATTACCATTGAGTGTGTGTGTGTGCGTGTGTGTGTGTGTGTGTGTGTAACTCTTACTACATCGTAAATGTGTTTTTGATGTTAAGCTTTCTGTTGTTTGTTTAGACCATCTGGCTTACCACCTTTGTTTCCTCTTTGTTTCTGGGATTGGACTATGGTTTGATTACTGCTGTGATCATTGCTCTGATGACTGTCATTTACAGAACACAGAGGTGAGTGAGTGAAGTGGGGTGGGAGTGAGTGTCCCAACTGTGATAAGACGAGCCCTGACTTTAAATATGGACTGGAGTGTGTATCTGTGGACGCTGAGCCCTTGCGTGTGAGAGGAAGCTGTAAGACTCGTGGCATCTGTGGATCAAAAAAAACTTCCAAATAAAAAATTCAGTGTAATTTTGCCATGTGCCCTGCTGTGTATGCCTAGAGCAGACACAGACCCTGAGCTATCATTTGTAGGTCTTCCTTATCTTTTCCTTTATCCTGAACTATTGTCATCTGTCATTTATCCTGCCTAGTAGTAAGCTGAGCCCACTGGGAAGATATACAGTAACCTTTAATTTTAAAAAAATGTCTATGATAAATAAAGAAATCACCATAAAGAAAAGAAAGAAAAAGATGTAAACATAAAATCCTAATGTGAGGTAAACTGGGCTCAAGTCCTAGCTGGGTCCTTGATACGCTCTGTGGTTTGACAGAACCCATCTGAACTTCGGTCCTGCATAGCGTAGAACTAAGCAGCGTTGCCCCATGGTCGCAGTAAGGTTGCACTGGGAAGAACGCATGCAGAGATCATAAGCAAGGGTTGATGAGTGCTGTGCACCCACAGATGAGGATGCCCTTCCCTCTTTAACACAAGGGGAAATGAAAACGGGATCAGTCCATTTTTGCCTGCGACCAATAATGATTTTCAGAGCTTTACAGAACACCTTATGGTTCTCAAAGCTTTGGGTGTGGTGCGTTGGAAGGTCACTGGATGAGGGCGCTGAAGCTTTACCTGACGAATAGCATTTTGCTCTTCACTCTCCGTAAAAAATGGGCATTTTTCTCTTCAGAAATGACAGAGGAAAAGGTTGAGAACATGTGGGATGCTAAGCTCAAGAGAAGAACTGAGTTAGTTTTACTAGCAAATTTTAACACTACTGCCCATGTTTATCTAAAAGATCCTCCTCCACCACCACCACCCAGTCCCCCATTTTTATAAAAATCAGTATTGGTTCTGGTGAGAGTCCCTTAACAGGAGAGTTTTTTTGAGCACTTGGGTTTTCTAAGGAGCCCTCGTGGCATAATGGTTAAGTGCGGGGCTGCTAACTGCAAGGTGAGCAGTTCTAAACCACCAGTCATTCTGCAGAAGAAAGACTGAGCTTTCTGCTCCCATAAAGAATTACAGTCTTGGAACTTAAAGAGGCAGGTCTACCCTGTCCTGTAATGTTGCTATGAATTGGTGTCAACTCAACGGCAATGAGTTTAGTTAGAGTTTAGGGTTTTCTATATGCCTTTTGTTAATCTACAACAAAGAATTTGAGATACTTGTTATTTTTGTTTTCTTTAAAGTTCTAAGGGTTTCTTAGAATTTTAGAGTTGGACAAGTTTTTAATGTTACACTTCTATTACTCACTAAAATAATAAAACTTCATTTCATGGTTTGATCTTTGTTGATGTTTTTGCTCTTAAGAAAAGTAGAAGTTTCAAACTGAAGGGAAGACATTTCTGTAGGTGAATTAGCCTTGAATTTGGCCTTATGGGAAAGTAAGAGGGAGATGGTGAGAGAGGAGAGGAGACGATTCCAGCTGGGGAAGCAGCCTGCCAGAGATCGGGAGTTGGAAGTAAGCCAAGACTGGAGTGTCTGTCTCAGTTACCTAGTGCTGCTGTGACAGAAGGGCGCTTTCACAGAAGTGTATTTTCTCACCACATTTAAAGGGCCTGCTCTAGAGGAAGATTCTCTTGTCTCTGGGGAAAATCCTTATGCCCTTTCCACTTCTGTTTCTTGGACCCTTGGTTATTTTCATGTAACATGGCATTTGTACATCCCCTTCTCTGCCTACTTGCTCAGTTTTCTTTTTTAAACCTTAAAAGAGATGGATTTTAAACATGCCCTACACTAATATTGTCTTATTAAGACCATCAAAACCCAAACCACTGCCCTCAGGTTGATTCTGACCTATTTGACAGAGCCGAATTCTTCCATAGGGTTTCAGAGGCTGTACATCTTCACCAAGCAGACTGCCTCATCTTTCTCTCCTCGACCTCGGATGGGTTCAAACCACTGACCTCTCTCTCCGATATTAGTAGCCCAATGCTTAGTTTAAAGAAAACGTATTCGCACATGGGATTATCACAACTCTGGGGTACCAGCCTCCACATTGGATGGGTCCAAGGGCCAGTTGTGTAATTGAGGGGCATAATTAAAGAGACATCGGACAAGATAAAGCATGCGAGTGCTCACCTCCAGGACCGCCATGACTTCAGGGAGAGAATATATTTCCAACAAGGCTTATATACCTTAAGGGGGGCATGCAAGCCCCTCTAATTACAGGTAACCACAAACCTAACAAAGTGGGCTGCACCCTAACCCTACAGGTCCCGGAGTCTATTGGAGGAGTACCCTAACACCAGTGCCCGGGAAGGTCAAGAGGGAGGGGCTGTCCTCAGAGCCTAGAGAGCAGTAGCCCAGGTCTGCACCCAGAGTTAAAGCTGCTGGCTACATAGCAATGAGCCGTGTGCTTGTAAGAGGTAACTTTAACGTACCATTATTATGGGAGGATATAGTGGGGAACAATATTAATTATGAGAATGTGATTGGGACTCATCTCCAACTCAGAAGGGGGAAGGCCTCCCTCCACCCCAGAAACCCAGCCTGCCAGACTCCCTAATACATGAGACTAAAGGATTCATCCGTATGCACTCTCTTCCCGCTCTCTACTCGCCAGAAACAACAGACATCCAAAAATAAAAACCAAACTCACTGTCATCCAGTCAGTTCTGACTCAGAGCAAGAGAAAAGTGAAGCTTTCTCCTCCCATACAGATTAATAGTCCCGTAAGCCCACCGGGGCGCTTCTACTCTGCCCTATCAGGTTGCTATGAGTCGTAGTAACCACTGGACTTACAACGCATGCTTTAGGAGGGCCACAGGGAGATCTTTAATAGTGGCCAGGAGGTCGGTGTGGAAAGAAGTTCACAGCAGAGGATGATGGGCCTAGATCCTGCATGACCTAGACTAGCCTATCGGCAGATTAAACCTTGGTTTTAGACTCTGAGAGTCAAGGAACTTTTTAGGCAAGGATAAAATCTGAAGTTCTACATGACTCTTCCCCTTGAATCTGCTGAACCTTCAGCTCCCTAACCTCTCCTGTCCTCTAAGCCCGTGCTTGGTCTTAGCTGTTCCTCTGGGCCTTGTCCCATCCTACTGATCAGCCATCCTGCTGCCCCCATGAAAGGCTCAGCTTGGAGATTAGTGCCCAGGACTCCTCCTCGAGCACTCATCTCTGTGCTCCATGCCCACAAATCTGAACGTGAACCTCCTGCTAAGCACCCCTTGACCTTGTGTCCACAATGTCAGTCACCGGTCTTGTGTTTGTGTGCAGACATTCCTAGACTGAGAGCCCCTTGATGGTAGGGCCATCAGCCTAGAGCCCGGCACCAGCGCAGAGTGAACGCTGAAGTCTGTGGAGGACATCTACCCAGAAGAATGGCTACCATTTGTGTTAGACTTGCTGTGTATTCTAACTGGCGAGGCATTCACATTCTTGCTAGGAAGCAGCAGGGCATAGTGACAAGACTGGAATTTCAAATCAAGGATCTTGAACCTTCTTCTGACTCTGCCAGGCTCTCTGGCCTTGAACAACTCATCGTACGCCTTTGACTCTCAGTTTGTCAAAGACATAATGTCAGTAGTAAGTCCGGGGGGGTTGGTGGGGGGGGGGGTTTCAGAGGATATAATAGGTAATACCAAGTGCTCAATAGGTAGACCTGTCATCACTGCAGAAACCACTTGGACCCAGACTGCCTGAGTGCGCTATAGCATGGGTGTGAAAGTGCTTTAAGTTTCAGTTTTAATGCAGAGCTGTTTGCTGGGTAGATTCCCTTGACAGCATTCAGAGAACGTACACTACACTACATGATGTGCTTGGTATTAGAAGAAAATTTACCCTGTCAGAAATGATTGTTTAAAAACCTATTCAAACTAAATGTAAGAAAACAGGTTAATTTAAATGAGAATTTGTTTTATTCCCACCTCCTCATTTGAACCCCCACTTCCCCTCCAGGAGTCAATGCTTAGCGTTAGAAGAAGAAATCCCTTCTCCAATAAGAGAGGATATGACGTGTGAGGGTATGTTTGTGGGGGGTGAGCGTGGTGTGCTCTGTGTCTGGAGTGTTTGTCCTGGATGTGGAGGACTGCGTGTGTGGGGGTGGGCGTGGTGTGTGTGGAGTGCTTTTGGTGGATGTGGACTGATGCATATACACTGTGTTGGGTGTGAGTGTATGTGAAGTGTGGCATGAGGCTGTGTGTGAGAGTCACGTTGTACTCTGAAAGTGGTGCTGGGAACGTGCTAAGGGTGGGGCCCTTCTGCAAAGGCACATGTAACAATCGAGCATTCCTACATTCATTAACAAATCCATGGATGGCATGCTAATGTGTAAGGTCGTGTTTAAGTCATACTTTAATGCACTCACTCTCTGTCTCCAGCCCTAGCTACAAAGTCCTCGGACAGCTTCCTGATACAGATGTGTATATTGATATAGATGCCTATGAGGAGGTAAGACCCACTTCTCACATCTTTACGTGGCTGTACGTATCTGAGGTGCTCGGCTAGGTACTGTTTTTATCCAGGTCAGAAGTGGTGATAGAGATGGAAATGTAGCGGCCTAATCGAAAGGCTTCAATTTCAATTTCTTTTCCTGATTCAGTGGTATAGTTTATACAATCATAATATTAATTACTCTACTTATTACTATTTATTTTCTGAGGATAAATATAGATTCTTAGAAATAAAGTATGCATTTCTAGAATACTAAACTGTTGGAGACGATAGTTTGTATGCACATGATTTTCTACTGATGAATGTAAACCAAAGACAAAATATTAATTTCTAACTGTTTAAGAGATAGTTGGTGGGGCTCTCAGCTCATTTTTAATATTTTAGATTATAGTTCACAATGACCTTGATTTTCTCTTGCAGGACCACAACGATGTTGATGAAATATTATTAGACTAATTTCATCTCTTTGTTTTCTTTTATACTTGTGTTGAAATGCTTAGGCCCACTGTAACCTATTGAGAAATGAGGATGATGTTAGGATTGCTATCTGTCCTCATTACAAAGTTATTTGCTGAATTCCTTTTCTTTTAAACTGCACCTGGCGTCTGCCAGGCTCCTGATAAGACCTCACTGTTCCCCTCCTGTCTTCCCACATTCCTGATGGAAATCACATGATCTGGCCGGTGCTCCTTTATTTAGCTGCTTCCCACAGGCTGGGGGGCAGCCTCTCCCCACCCCTGTCTTTTCTCTCTTGCACGGTTTCCCGCTTCTCTCTTACTTGTGTTTTATGGTGACAATGAGACTAAGACAGGCTGTTTAAAGGAATAAATGGGAAGGTGTGCATCTTATTTATTTATTTTTAATCATTTTATTGGGGCTCATACAACTCATCACAATCCACACAGACATCAGTTGTGTAAAGCACACTTATACATTCGTTGCCCTCGTCATTCTCAAGACTCGCTTTCCGCTGGGTTCCTGGAATCAGCTCCTCATTTTCCTTTCCCCTTTCCCCTCCCTCCCCGCTCCCATCTGTTGCCCATCCCCCAGAGAGGAAGTTATATGTAGATCCTTGTGATCGATTCCCCCTTTCTACCCCCCTTTCCCTCCTGGTATCTCCACTGTCACCGCTGGTCCTGAGAGTTTGGTCTGCCCTAGATTCCCTGCGTTTCCAGTTCCCACCTGTACCACTGTGCATCCTCTGGTCTAACCAGGTTTGCAAGGCAGAATTGGGGTCCTGGTAGTTGGGGGGAGGAAGCGTTTAAGAACTAGAGGAAGGTTGTGAGTTTCATTATTGCTATACTGAACCCTAAGTAACTCATCTCTTCCCCACTACCCCTCTGCAAGGTATGTCCAGTTGTCTACAGATGGACATTGGGTCCCCATCACACTCCACCCTCATTCACAATGATATGATCCCCACCCCACCCCTTACCCCGCTGCCTTTGGTGCTTGAAGCCTGGTCCCTTCGGCCCTTCATGATCACACATGTTGATGTGCTGCTTCCATGTGGGCTTTGTTGCTTCTGGGCTAGATGGCCGCTTGTTTACTTTCAAGCCTTTAAGTCCCCAGACGCTATAGGTCTCGATAGCCGGGCACCACCATCCTTCTTCACCACACTTACTTATGCACACATTCATTATGTGTGGAAGGTGGTCACACAATGATGTTTTTTGTTCTTTGGTGTCTGCTGCCTGATCCCTTCAACACTTTGTGTTCACACAGGCTTGTGTGCTTCTTCTCTGTGGGCTTTGTAAGATGTGCATTTTAACAACTTCTCAGTATTCTTTCTTCCAGAGCATGATTAGGTGGGAGATAGTGTGACGTTATTTTACATTGGTATTAATTGTTGAATTGGGGAAAGAAGACAATTGTAGTTTTGATTCTGAAATGTTTCTCTGTGTTAATTCATTGATATTCTATTCCTCAGGTAAAAGAAATTCCTGGAATTAAAATATTCCAAATAAATGCCCCGATTTATTATGCAAATAGTGACTTGTATAGCAGTGCATTAAAAAGAAAGGTGAGTCACAAGAAATTAAGGAGGGCTTATATCTGAGGAGGGGCCCTGAGGAGCTGGCAGGTGGGGATGTGAGAACAACATAATTGACTCCGTATATCCTGTTATACTATTTTATTCACTTTTATCATATGTGGGATGTGTGTGTGTGTGTGTGTGTGTGTTCTGATAGTTTAAAACATTTTTTTAAAAATAAAGTAAGGAAAATAATTTTAGGTTTCTTACCTGGAATCAAATGGTTTATTTTGGTCAGGATTAGAACTTGACTCCACACTATCTAATGTATAGGAAAACACCCCTAGTTCAACACACTGGGTCAATTATATGTAAGAAACTCGAAGATTATACATAAGAAGCTGTGTTTGAAAATTGTACTCTAAACGTTCTCTTCAGTATTTTAGTTTCTGACTGTCTTGTATTAAGACTTGCATTAACACTTGCATTTTGTTTCTGTCTTGCATTAAAATCAGAAAGGTTACTAATGTATTTTTTAAATCATGTTATAGGGGCCTCATACAATTCTTACCACAATCCATACATACATCCATTGTGTCAAGCACATATGTACATTTGTTGCCATCATCATTCTCAAAACATTTGCCTTCTACTTGAGCCCTTAATATTGGCTGCTCATTTTCCCCCTCCCTCCTCACTCCCTCCTCCCTCATGAACCCTTCATAATTCATAAATTATTATTATTTTGTCATATGTTACACTGTCCTATGTCTCTGCCTGCCCTCTGCTGTCCACCCCCCCAGGGAGGAGGCTATACATGGATTCTTGTAATCGGTTCCCCCTTTCTATCCCACATTCCCTCCACCCTCAGGCATCGCCACTCTCATCACTGGTACTGAAGGAGTCATCTGTCCTGGATTCCCTGTGTTTCCAGTTGCTATCTGTACCAGTGTACATCCTCTGGTCTAGCCAGACTTGTAAGGTAGAATTGGGATCATGATAGTGGAGGGGAGGAAGCATTTAAAAACTAGAAGAAAGTTATATGTTTCATCATTGTTACCCTGCACCATGATTGGCTCATCTCCTCCCCACAACCCTTCAGTAAG